CATAACAAGGAATAATGGCCACAAGTTGTTGGAGAGGAGGTTTAGATTAGACATCTGTAAGAACTACTTCACGGTCAGGGTGGCTAGGATCTGGAACCAACTTCCAAGAGAAGTGGTGCTCGCTCCTACCCTCAGGGTCTTTAAGAAGAGGCTTGATGCCTACCTGGCTGGAGTCATCTGAGCCCAGTTTTTCTCCTGCCCAGGCCGGGGGTCAAACTTGAAGATCTACAAGGTCCCTCCCGACCCAACTTCTATGATTCTATGATATTTTATATATATATTAGTGGTGGTCATTTTAATCACAGAAAAATGTAGATTTTTCATTTATTTTTTTAATTTATATATACACACACAAAATCAGGACTTGTAGTAGAGATATCTTTTATTAGACCAACAAGATTTTTGCAAAAATCACATTTTTCTGTGATTAAAGTGAAACGCCACTTATATATAAAATTATATAATATATATATTATATAATATAATACTAATATAACCACTAACATATATATAAAACACCACTTATATATTAGTGGTGTTTCATTTTAATCACAGAAAAATGTAGATTTTTGAGTTAGTTTTTTAATCTGAAAAATTGCAGATTTTTTTTATCAGAGAAACCCAGGATCCCTGCTGATAATAGGTAAGTGTCACCCAAATTCTGTCTAGATTGATGCCTTTTCATTTCCTGCATGACTGAAGTCTAGGTTCAGAGAATGCAATAGTCCCTTTCACTTCCCTGTTCACTTATCTATAGCAAGAGAGAGGTGACATGAGGGTGCCTGTGCTTGCTGCACACATACCTGCTACTCGAAGATCACAAGCTAAGGCCAGCTCCAGTCCCCCGCCTAGTGCATAACCTTCGATTGCAGCGATAGTGGGCACAGGCAGTGCAGCTGGGGAAAGTCAAAGTCATTTGAAGTTTACATTCCAGAATCAGGTTTCTCAGCGAACATTTAAGATTTCTTCATTTCAAATGTACAAGTTTTCTATGGCTATGGCATAATGCCTAGCAAGTTACCAGAGGTAGAGGAAAACCATCGTCAGATAGTGAAAATCTGCAATTTTTTATTTCCTTCTTTAAAAACAATCCCAGAAAAGCCTGACAGAAACACTGTGATACTGGAAGAAAGAACAAAATGTGTTAACTTCATACTGGGATTGGCTTCCTTGAAAATGTGAAATGTGAACACCTGCGACAGCAATGCTACCAAAGAACAGCTCCCACTGTGAGGCATCTCCCCATTCAGCATTATGTGACCACTGCAGTCCTGGACAGGCTTTCCTCCAAGTGCCTTGATGAACATGCGTACCCCAGCACTGAGGGGAGCTAGGCAAGGCACTCTCCCTTTTTAAATTTCGGAGAACCCACCCTGTCTCCATACTGGTGGTTTTCAACCTTTTCAGACTCCAGGCACCCTGCAGAAAATGTCAGCTCTTAATTTTTTGATCATTTTTGATTACGCACAAATAATGGAGCAATTTTCCTGGTCAAAAACCAGTCAACATGTCTTCATCGTTCTGTATTCCTGTTTGAAACTTCTGGGTTTATCTTCTGAATCGTGTTTGCACACCTGACAGGCCTAACATTATGTGGTACCTCATGACACCATTGAAAGCATCTCAGGGCTCCCCTGGGTGTCACAGCCCCCTGGTTGACAGTTGCTGCTCTGTACAGTAAATCTGGTGTCCCTTGGTGAAACCTCATGCATGCTGTGCTGCTCTGGGCAGGCTGTCTTCTGAACTGGACTCAGGATGGCCACCCCTGCATGGCGCTAGCATTGTTGGGCAACGGGACCAAGTAGCTTGCTCCCAAGTTCATAAGGCTACCCCAAAGACTGCTTTAGGAGGCAGCTAGCCTAGCACGGTGCAGTGTGCTTGATGGTGGCACTATCAGGAATGGCAAGTTTCCTACGTAGACATGGTTTAGGGTATAGCGGGTAAATCACTTAGAGCAAGGTGCAGTGAGACAGCAGCAAAACTGGGAACAGAATCCAAAGTGCAGTCTCAGGAGCTCTCTGTCTGCCTGCAAGGCAGCCTTCCCCAGCCATGCCAGTGCTGTACTGTATCATGCTGGTTGGATGTACGCACGTTAGATACTGCTTGAATTTTTTTAATTAAAATTTTAATCAACTTTGCTCATGTTTCAAACATCTTGTGCATCTCCCTCCAGAGACAGGCACAGTCAATATGGGAACAGCACTGTTTGTACAAGTCCACATTCCTTTCCTAAAAAGGGGGTTAAATATTGATTTAGCAAGTTCAGCTTGTGAATGCGCCAATGTGCCAAGATCCTTTTCTGTTCTACCGAGCTGCTTGTGCTACTCTCATCTGAGCCCCTTGCAGCCGCATGCCAAGAATGAAAGGAATAACATCCATCACAGGTGATTCATTCTTTTGCATCCTCCCCCTGGGATAAGGGCACTAAGAAGCAGGGACCTTTGTCTGCCCCCCTGTATGCACAAGTATGCAAACAATGTAACAAGAAACCATTTACCAATTTCATCCATTAGACTTCTCAGCCTGTGAACAAAATGTCCCACTTCAGCATCACTCATTTGTGCACGCTCCTTTAAGTCAGCACCTAAAGTAGGGAGAAGATAGGAATTGTGACAGGGGACAGGCAGCAGAGCTAGGTAGGCAGCAGCACTGCGTTGCCGGGGCACGAAGAGTCATGTTCCAGAGCAGTGTAGGGATGCCAGCTCTCTGGTCTGGTTGCATTCAGATGCTTTAAGGATGGTCGTAGAGCATCCTGCCCCATTGCTGCCTATGGCAGCCAATTTCAGAGAGCAACCCCAAGCACCGTTTTACATGAACTGCTTTCTACTGGGTTAGACCAGAGGTCCATTTTGACCTGTTACAAAGTGGCAAAGACCAAATGGTGAAAGGACCATGTACAACCAGGGTTTTTTCCACTGGTCCTCTCCCCACTTTCAGTCTCTAGCACTTCAGGTGTAGGAAGTTCTGGTTCACTGCCATGCTCAATAGCCACTGACGCACTTTTCCTCCAAGGATTTGTCCGGTCTCTTTTTGAATCTGGCTAAACTGTCAGCTTCCGCCAAATATTGTGGCAATGAGTTACACACTTTAATCACACGCCGTGTAAAAACCTTCCTTTTGCTAGCTTTAAACTTACTACCAGTTTCATTTTTGTGACCCCTGGTTCTTGTATTGTGCGAGGTCGTAAATCATAAATCCCTATTTACTTTCTCTTCACCGTTTAGTATTTTGTAAACCCTTATCATGTCTGCCCCAAAGTATTTTTTTAAACTTGAACAGGCCTAGCCTTTTTAGTGTCTCCTCATGCAGAAGCCCCTCCATACCACTTATACTTATTGACCATCTCTGGACCTTCTCTATCTTCTATATCCTTTTTGAGGTGTGGGGACCAAAATTGGGCACACCATGGATTTATAAAGAGCATAATGATACTTCCTGTTTTGCTTACAAGTCCCTTAATAATTCCTAACATTTTGCTTGCCTTTTGAGAGCTGCTGAGCACTGAGCTGGTGTTTTTAGCAAACTGTCCACAATGACTCCTAGTGTGGTAACAGCTCATGTTGAGCCAAATATTTTTATCTATATGCATCACTTTACACTTTATCTACGTGTCACCTGCCATTTATTGTCCCACCCTCTCAGTAGTGCAAGATCTTTCTGTAGTCCCTCGCAGTCTGCCTTGGTCTTTATCACTCTGAGTAATGTTGTGTCATTCACAAATTTAGCCATTTCACTACTCACCCCCTTTTCCAGATCATAATTTATGCATATGTTAAACAGCATCGGTCCCAATATAGATCCCTGGAAGACCCTGTGGTTTGATTTTTTCCATCCCGAAAACTGACTGTGTGTACTCATTCTTTGTTTTTTATCCTTAAACCAATTTCTAATCAACAAGTGGGCCTCCTCTATAATCCCATGACTACCTAACTTCATGAAGAGCCTTTGATTAATTCTCAGAATCAGAGGCAAGGGGGCAGCAGTACTGTGCTCTAAGGATGCAGCTTGGAAAGCAAGAGAGCATACAGATGAAAGAGCTAGTCTTTAGGCTGTAGCCACTGAAGCTGGGTGCAGCTGCTGAGGTCACTGTTGCTAAGGCAGAGGTTGATATGCCGAGATGGGACCACGTGCCAAGGTTTGTTCCTTGTTATTGTACAACACTAAGCTGGCTATTTAATTAAGTGTATGTTTCCAGCTGCTACTCAGCACTGCCTGCCCTGTGCAACAGCACATGGACCATCAGCTTTTAACATCAAGTCAGGTCACAGAGAATTGGTTACCTACCTGCACAAAACACGCCTTTTACTTCACTTTTAAACACTACTACACGGATCTTGTCATCGTAACGGAGACTTTCTAATGCACGAAACAACTGAGGGGAGAGAGTTTATGCAAGAGAAGTTAAGCACGGCTTTGAGCCTGTCATCCTTGTGAACCCCTATGCCTAGATCACTGACAGGAGGCTCCTACACTGCAGTAAGCTTCCTGACTGTCTTTGCTGCACGGGGAGGGAACCTTGCAGAAAGCCAGTGTCAGGGATCCTGCTGCTCTGTATGTGGTCTCTGGAAGGATTGCTCTTGCTTTTCCTCCCATCTTTTCAATATCCCAAATGGACCTTGCTGTTCAGGGCAGAGCCTGGTTCTCTGGACCCCTTGTGCCCACTCTTTGGTCAGAGACATAACTAGTGATTTTTTTTTCAATTAATTTGTATCCAAGGCCAAATGAGCAAGACTAATTCCAAATCCAAGAGTCCAGAACCATGAGTGGCCCTACTGCCACCTGCACCTGGGGCTTCAGATGTTTCCAAATCCTTTGGCGGGCATCCTACTTGCAGGCCCAAGCCCGGAGGCTTGGGGTTCGGATGCCGCTGAGTTTTACCTGCCCTTATCCATAGGAGCTAAGGAGGAGACTCCCATTTCCATAAACTGGGCTTAAAGCCGCTACACCTCGGCAGGTACTGAACCACGCCAGAAGAGCAGTTCTCCCACAGTGCGGTTCAGGAAAACTGCCTTCACGGATACAGATACCTGGTATTTTCCTGCCAGGTTAAGAAGCCACCACACTTGATCTGAGCCCACAAGAGGCCCAGAAGCGAGATGTAATTAGTGATCAACATCTTCTGGTACGTCTATACTGCAGTCCCAGAAATGAAGCGGGGTCAGTTAGCCCATGCTGAGCTGGGCTCCATCCTGCCACGGTTAGACTGGTACTGGTACTCAAGCTAGCTAGTGTAAAGCAGGCTAGTGTATCTGTAGGCTGTACTGCAGCGTGGGCATTCCCAAAGCCTCCCCGCCCCCTCGAGTTAGCCTATCTTGCTTTTATTCACAACTTCTATTGGCCTGGTAGCAAATGACTAAGCTTTACTCTTAGTTTTGGACCACACAGATCTCATGCTCTACTAGGCCTAGACCCTAGATAATCAAGCTGCAGGTTTATAGTTTCATAGTTTCTAGGGTCGGAAGGGACCTGAGCAGATCATCTAGTCCGACCCCCTGCCATGGCAGGAAAGAGTACTGGGGTCAAATGACCCCAGTAAGGTGGTCATCCAACCTCCTCTTAAAAACCCCCAGGGTGGGAGCCTGCACCACCTCACTTGGAAGCTGGTTCCAGACCCTAGCCGCCCTGACCGTGAAGTAG